CTTCATGTCTCAAGTTGTTTTAAGTCTGTTCTACAGAGATATGACAGGATTGGGAGTTCTACTGATAAAAGTTATTTTGCAACTAAAAGAACTTGAACTAGTTTTTTGCTTTTATGTGTAGTACTGTGATTTCAGATAAGTACACTAACAGCATGGGAAAGGTACTTAGTACTGAGAAAGTAACATAGCAAGTCACAAAAGCCTGCAGTCTTTTTAAACTTGATGTGTACAGTTCAGGCTACAGAATTGTATCTTGAGCCTGTATTGCCTCTTAATTAGTAGAGGAGGACTTGTGTACTTGTCTGCATGAGAACGCTTCCAGGAGGATCTGCTCCATGATTTTGCAGAGCAAGAAAGAATAAATGGAAATTGTCTGTGAGAGGCTTGTGTAGTGAAAGAAAACTGAGGTGCAGAGTGGGCTTTCACTTTATGATGAGGGAAAACAGCAATTCTGGGAGACTGAGGAAAAGTAAAATACTTACTGAAAGCAATCGAAGAGCAGTTCATTAAAATATAATAGGAAAAGCATTAAAAAAAATACATCACAGGAAAGCAATATGCTTGCTACCCCAGCCAGCAGTCGCTTGCTTGCTCCCCACTTTACCACCACTGCTGCCAGTGGAATGGGAGAAAACAAGACGAGTAAAAGCAAGAAAAACTGGGGAGCAATTTAAACTCAGTTTAATATGGGGGGGGGGGGGGGGGGGTAAAGCAGTGCACCAAGTTGCAGAACAGATAGTACGCAGGCAGTCTATAAACAGCAGCCACCATGGAAGCCCCAACACCCCCTTCTTCCTCTAGCCCAGTCTTTATTGCTGAGCACAGTGTTGCATGGCATGCAGTATTCCTCTGCCCAACTTGGGTCAGCCATCCCAGCTCTGTCCCCTCCCCAATTCTTGCCCACCCCCAGCCTCCTTGCTGAAAAGCAAGAAAGCTCTGACAGCACCCAAGCATTGTTCAGCTATAGACAAACACTGATCTGCTACCAGAACACAGATGCAAAGCACGGCATCTTACTGGCTGTTGTGAAAAAAAGTCCAATCCATCCCAGACAGACCAAGTGCAAAAATCAATTTTAAAAAAGTGACAGGTTATGGGAAAATACTGTATCTCTGACTTAAGTCCAGCTATGATAACTAAATAGCTGCTTATCCTGCTTAGTGAGGTAACAAATGCCCTAGAAATGGGTAAATACCCAGCCAGTTTTCTCTTCAGTGTGTCTATTGATGTGGCTGGGATCTGTGCCCTAAATTGTAGGTTTATTTGTTTTTTTTTTTCTCATCCTGTTTAACATTGCACTTTTCTGGGGTTTTCATTTAGTTTTACTTTTAGCTTCTAGTCTTTGACCGTAGTAGCAAGGTGACTTTTGAGTTCTACGTATTTCTGAATGTGTCTTAGCTGGAAAGCTGCTTTGCTGTCCAGCTTTGTTTCCCTGTGAAGTATTTGTCACCAATAGCTATGTACATACACGCGTTTAAAATGTGCTCTTAAATTAAATGCTGCTAATGTAATTTCTTTGCAGATTCAAAAAATAGAGGGAGTCATATCATACAGAGATCCTCATTTTTGGTGTCATTCTGCAAGTGTTGTGGCAGGTACAATACATGTGCAAGTGATACCAGATGTGATGGAACAGAGAATTGTACAGCAGGTGAGTGCAAGGTTTTTACACCCTGCTGTTTTAATTTCAGTTGTAAACTGAAGTTTGAAGCTGCTGCTTGTGATTATTTTTGCAACTATTAGTTAATGTCTCAGAGCTGGTCTCTAGTGCTGTACTCCCCTTGCCTGCTAGCTTGGAATTGCATGAAGAGCTATTTGAAAAGGTGGTTTGCTTTTTTTTTCTTTTCCTCACTGTTGAAAGTGGTACTACATCTGCTCTGAGAAAAGTAGGTGAGGTGGATTTCATGCTGCAAAACAGGCAGTAAGCAGTAGGGATAGCTGCGTGTTAGTCATGGGTTTATAAGTAGCTTACTAGTATCTGTCTGCCTTGGGTTTCTCTTTTCCTTAAAAGGATACTTCCTATGCAAGACCCTGAGAGCTACCCCATATGCAGAAGTTGCAGAGCCATACCCTCTGGAGCTAGTCTTCTCTTCCCAGAAAACTGAATTCTTTATGATGATATTTTTTTTAATCTACAGTACTTCAGAGCCACAGTGCTGCAAGTTACTGGGAGATGTAATGCTAATGTTAACCATACTGTTCTGTTCAGGTTACAGCCATTCTGAAAGATGCTGGTGTAAACAACCTAACTGTCCAAGTGGAGAAGGAAGCTTATTTTCAGCACATGTCTGGACTCAGTACGGGGTTTCAGGATGTCCTTGCAATGACTCAGCAACTAGAATCCATGAAATACTTCAAAGATGGTACTTACATCATGTGATACAAAGTTGTGTTTGCCAAAGGAGGTGTAAATGGGGAAGCCATAGTATTCTGTGTTCGTATTTCTGCCAGGAGATATTGCACATACATGTACAGGAACAAATGTACTATATATTTGAGATTTTTAAGCATACTGTCTTTATTAAAATTGCATCAAGATGCTTTTGTAAAGAAAATTAGATGGACTTGAGTATTTGCTGTATATGTGAAAATTATGCAGATCTTAAATACTGTACGTAGTGCTTATTAAACAGAAGTCTTGCAACTTGTGGATGAGCAGGGATATATTCCATACTTTGTCTTAAGTATGGAACATCATGATTATCATTTCATATTAGTAGTGGGAAATGGAAATAATTTATATTAGAATGCAGACATAGCTTGAAGATTCCGGGTGAAAAACAGCATGTTTTTTATGGGGAGTAAAAAACAACGTGAAGTCGTGTTTTGCAGTCTTTGTTAGATAATATAAATACACAGTTTTTATGTTATATTTTGGCAAACAGATCTGATTTCTAAACTTAATTTTAGTGAGCAAATAGATGTTACCAGTGAAAATTTGTATCAAATTATGTTTTTTAAGGAGAGAAATCCACAGTTAACAGTGAGAAATAGGGAGGGGAGAAAGTTGCAGACACTTCTCTGTTTCCTGAGAAAATCAAAAAAAAAAAACCTGTAAAACAATTTTTTTTTGGTACTTTTTCTCTGAAAAACTGCAAATGCAACAGTTCAAAAATTAAAGTAATTAATCAGTGACCATCCTAGCACTCACCTGAACTTCACCTCTTCAACATACATTACTGTGTTGACTCGATTTTTTTTGTAATACCATAGCAGAGCTGCAGATGTCCTGTAGCCAGGTGTACCTTCAATTATTACCAAAGGAAGCAGTTCAGGTTTGGAATGGTGAGCTGTGACATTAGTCTGCGGCTTGACAGGTTGCAGAAACAAACTGTAAATTCAGACTTCTTGCCTCAAAAGAGAAAGAGTGTTTAAGAAAAAATAATGTGTGTTGGGGTCTTCATACTGTGAAGAAAACAAATCTGTCTTTAGTGAAAACCTGTCAACAGGGTAATACCGTGTCTTCAGAGGTAGTTTCCCTTACATCTGTTTACAGTCTTGCTGTGCCCCCTTCTTGTCTGAAGCCCTTAGATATTTCCTATGGAATTCAGCAAGTCTGTTCAGTGGTTAGTGAGAATGAGTAACATCTTTCACCTGTGTGTCACAGCAGCCTTACTTCGTCATACTGTTTTCTTGTTCTGGTATAAATTTATATTACTGATATACTGATCAGCACCTGAGTATTGTTATAAAGGCCAGACTTCATGTTAGTGGAATTTAAGGGTAGACTGATGTAGGAATTACATGATCAGACCCACCAGCAGCGCAGTTCGGAATGTCCTTGAGCAATTCGTCTGCTCTTGTTTACACAGTTTCTTCTGTGACTCTTACAAACAAGTTTACAATCCATTCTCTTCCTCTGGTGCTGTGTTAAACACTGTCTGCAGTACAGGACTGACTTGAAAAACTGTGCTCAGAACGTTTCTGGAAGTTGCATTGCTTTTGCATGTAGTGATGAATGTTGACTGCACAGGTAACAGTCCCTCATTTCTCAGGGTTGTGCTGCAGAGCCAGCAGAGTGCCCAGAACTCGAACCTGTTTTCTTCAGTTCTTGCCTTTGGCAGTGGTTTTCTCATGTCACCTCCTCCAGAAGGCCCAGGTCACTTGAATAACAGTGCTGCAATTACACTCAGCCTGTAAGCAGGGTGATCCCTTTGCTCTGAAAACCATTCTCGAACAAAAAGCTTCAGTTACTATTTACATGTGCCACTGGTGTTTGCCATGGCTGGACTGGAGCTGGGAGCATTTCAACAAACCCAGAAATAGCTCTGTGGGGATAGGTAGGTGGTTTTTCCCTACTTTTTTTCAAATTCTTCCTTTTTCAAATCAAGTTAGTGTAACATCACTGAAAAGCCTTAATGCTTGACACAACTTCTCTGAGCAAATGCTGATTGCACACTTCAGCTGCTAGCAACAGGACCACAAGCAAATGAAGGTGGCTGGGACCTCATTGGATGATTACAGCAGTGAAGATCAGCTCATGCCTGGCTACTTCACAGGCAAGCAAAAATCTGCATCTTCACTTGCATTTGGTAGCTCTTCCCATGTGACCCCAGCACATGCACAGTGGCTTTCCTGCTATCCTGACATAAAGACAACAGCAACGAACATTGTCTATCTTAAAGTTGTTTAAAAAGAGCCCGTATCTGGCAATAAACCTCAAAAAAAAAGGGTTTAGGCTTTCCCCCCATGAGATGTATTGCAGCTGTGCTGTAAGGGCAGGTTTTCAAATCACCGGTATGGGCCAACTGATGTACATGGTTAATAAATGCTGTGGTGGGGAGCATTCCAGGTAGTCAGTTGCTTGTGTGCAGCCAGAGGCAACAGAACACTTTCAAAGACGAAGCAAAGATTTACAACAAACTGGCAGTAAGTGATCTATGTACATGTAATGAGGAAAGAATAAATGTAGTTTTCAATACCGGTTTATGCAGTGCACCTTGGCTTTTCTGGTTAAAACGTGAGGTGGGACGCACACAGCACGGCAAGAACCCTCCGGTATGAATGCCACGCTCTGGCTCGTCTCCGGGCAGTGCCGGAGCCAGCCCAAGGCAGGACACCGAGAACTGTTCCGAGCCGCCTCCAGGCGCTCACCGCTGCACCCCGGGCGAGGAGGCCCCAACCTCGGCGCGAGGAGGCCCCAACCTCGGCACAAGGACGCCCCCGTCCGCCCAGGCCGTAACACGGTGAACGCCGGTTTCCGCCGCCGGTAGCCACAAGAACGCGCTGAGGGAGGACCGCCGGCAGCCAATAAGAGGCGGCGGACGGGTTCTATAAATAGGCAGCGGCTAGCCAGCGCCTTGTTTTCGTGCTCAGCGCTGCGTCCATCGTTCTGCTCTCCGCTTCTCCCCGCTGCCCTAGCATGTCGCAGACGATTTCTTGGGTAAGGACAAGACCGGCCCAGCGGTACTCGGTTAGGTGGCTGGGTGCCTGCTCGCTCTCATGTGAGGGTGGCGGTCATCCGTGTCTTGCTGACACCTTCCCCTCCCTGCGCCCCGAAGCTCTGCGGGCTCGCGGGCAGGTGCGGGGCGCGCCGCGCCCTAGTTCCCTGTGAGCGGGGAGGGTGGAGGTGTGGGGCGCACGCTTCTCCTTAGGTACTCCCTCGGTCCTCCCGGGTTCCCCTTCAGCTCTCAGGAGCAGTAGCACTGCTCCCCGGAGTCACGTCTGTAGCCCTCCTGCTTCGTGGGTGTGAGCTCATGTACCCCTGCAGTCCCCCCCGCGGCTTTTCTCCGGACACACCTGTTTCAGGGTGGGGGCAGGTGGACAGCGCGGCGCGTGCACCATTCCCCCGATCCATCTCCCCCGACTCTCCGGCTTCGGGGGTGCAGCCGTGCAGTCCCTTTCCTCTCCCCCGTTCCCGCTGACCGCCCGGCCCCCTCTCTTCCCGCAGCACCCCCAGCAGCCAGGCGGAGACAGCGGGCTGCCGGTCCTCAGGAGATCCGCGGTGGCCGGCCCCAGTACGAGGCCGAGTTCCCGCACGGCGCTGGTGGACATCGGCAACCGCGTCACCGAGCCAAAGGCACAGGGGGCCACCAGAAATGCGGCGATCGGTGGAGGCGGCGGGGGGGAGCCGGACGGCAGACCCTTGCGCTCCAGTCCCAAGGCGAACCACGTTACCAGGAGGAAGAGGAGAGCCGCTCCCAAGAAGGGGGCGCCGCCAACAGCGCCGGAGCCGAAGCCAGAACCCCATTCGCAACAGGTACGGCCCGAGGCGGTGCGCCCTCTGCCACGGCTGGGTATGCGGTGAGGCCGTGCTGAGCAGGGGCCCTCAGTCGTGCCCTCGGATAGAGGTCGTGAGCAGTTCAGTGCCTTGCTGGGTGTAGCTCACCCCACAGGAGCTTTCCTTTGCCCGGCCCGCAGTGGGCTGAGGGAAGTACTGCCTGGGCTGATCCTGAATTTCCTTGCAGCTGGAGTCTCATTCCCAAATCCCCATGGAAATACCTGCATGTGCACCATCAGATGATGTGATGCGTCAGGCTTGTTCTCATGACTTGCTTCATGTGGAAAATGTAGCTGATGAAGATGATAACGACCCAGAGTACTTCCACGACTATGCGAAGGACATCTACCAGTATCTGAGAGAGCTTGAGGTTGGTAGAAGTAGATCAGAGCTCAGGGGGCATCTCCTGACACACTGAACCTGTCGTAGGTGTGGTTTGGAGCTGGTATTCACTTTCACCCATGAATTTTCCTGAGGCACTAGTAAGGGATATCCCAACTTAAAATGCAAGATTAAACTGAGCTGATTACATAAACACATACTGGTTGTTAGATAAATCAACTAGTAGTACTAATACCATGTTCTTTCTAGCCCATCTCTAGTAAACAAGGAAACCCTATGCCTGTAGGTTTTGCCTATACTGAGCTCTGATAAGCTGTAAGATGCCACAGAGGCTAGACATAGTAATGCTGTAGCTAAGTGACAAGATTTATTAACTCTATTCCTTCCACACAGGAAAATCGAACTATCAGACCCAAATACTTGACTGGGCAAGAAATCAATGGGAAAATGCGTGCTGTACTAATAGACTGGCTTGTGCAAGTACAGATAAGCTTCAAACTCCTTCAGGATACCTTGTACTTGTCAGTTGCCATCATAGATTGCTTCCTGCAGGTGAGTGTCTCTGCCATGTGTCAGGAAATTCCTTCTTCTGTAAGCAAAAGCACAGGCAGCACTGATCTGTAATACCATCATAGACATGTAACCCTTAACAAAATATAGCTGACCAACAAATGGCATTTGATGTTGAATTTTATGCACCACATAACCCCCTCAGCTGTGAAGAGGGATTTGATGTATCAAAACTGCTTCCTCTTCTACCTGATTTGATCTCAAAGCCTTCCAAAACCCCTGCAGATGACTGCAAGAGATGATGTACAGTTACTCTGTATATGCAAATATGAACATCCTGCCATTGAACAAATCTTACACAGGCTACATTGAAAAGCTGTGCTCTGAGCTCAGGCCTATGATTCATATAAATCTCTACTGCTTCTTCCTACAGGACAATACTGTTTCTAAGAAGATGCTGCAGCTGGTTGGTGTCACAGCTATGTTCATTGCCAGCAAATATGAAGAACAGCGTCCCTTGCATGCTGCAGACCTTGTCTATGTAACCAGTAACACTTATACAACCAGACAAATCATCCAGATGGAGCTTCAGATCCTGCAAGCCCTGAATTTTCATCTGAATTGTCCCCTAGCTTCACAATTCCTAAATATGGCTTTAGAAGTTGCAAAGGTAGAGCTGAGAACACATGTTGATATAAGCAGCATCTGGAAAATGCCATTTTCAATTGTGGCAGGTTGTTTAAAAGGTTCAGAACTTGAGTATAACAAAAGTTTAGCAGCTAAGCCTGGTTAAGGCCTGTCTCCCATGTAGAAACAGGTCTTGCTTGCTTTCAGTCACATGAGCCTAACCCACCCAAAATCGGAGTTAAAAAATCTGCCTGGTACTGCAGGTAACTGCTATTGAAAGGAGTGGTCTTAGACTAAGCAGCCTAATACAGCTCAGAACTGCTCTGCTATTAAGCCACTTAAGTCTCGAGTCCTTAGCTCTCAAAACGCTTGCTAAGGAAGTATTTCTTCCTGCTTGATTAAACAAAGGTTTGACAGGATGCTCTTGCCTCAGAGATAGCCAATATTCAACTCTCCTTCTGTAGGTAAACACAAGACAGCGTGTTCTGGCCGAATACCTGATGGAGTTGACCATTCTGGACTATGATATGGTTCACTTCCCTCCATCCAAGACTGCAGCAGCTGCTTCTTGTTTGTCTCTGAAACTTCTCAAGGGATGTGAGTGGGTAAGTTATGCTTGTCAGATCACCCAGTTTGGGACCTGCTCTCCATCTCCACCAGCTTAAAAGGCCAAGTATCCACCTTCTGCTTCCTTGTGGTATTTCAGCATTTGCTTGTCTCTCAGTGACTTGTTAAAAAGGGGCAGTAATTGTTAACCGTCCTCTGGCAGGCAGGAGACCAAAACTGCCCAAGAGAAGATAAACAGATAAATGGGTTGTTCTGGTAAGGTTGTCTAATGATTTCCCTTCCTTTCAGAGAGAAACTCTACAGTGCTACACATCTTACACTGAGAGTGACCTCCTCCCAGTTATGCAGCACATAGCAAAGAATGTAGTTCTTGCGAATAAGGCTACCACCAAGGAGAAAGTAAGAATCTCATGATGCAGGTGGGAATATGTGTGGTGCAGTTGGGGAGTATGTGTGGGGAATGTGTGGTGCTCTGAGGCTGGCTTAGCTGTGCTACTGCTCTCAGACTTCAACTGAAGCTCTTGCCAAAGTGGTGTGAGCCAGCCATGAACTGGGTGTGTGTGCCAGGATGGGTTTGGCTTGGCCATTAAAGGCTTGGGAAAGCTGGAATAGTGTAAATTTATGAACAGAGTAAACTGAATCAAAGTTACCTCTGCAGGCAATCAAGAAAAAATATGCTAGCTCTAAAACCATCAAGATAAGCACCATCGAACAGCTGAACTCACCTGTCATCTGGAATCTAGCCGAGTCTGTCAATAACTAAAAAGCTTTACCTCCCACACAAAGTCAGTGCCAACATTGTTTTTATAAACCCTTATTATGAATTTTGCTTATACTTTGGGATGTTTAATAAAGTATTTCATTTTCTTCTGTGTGGTTTTTATTTTGTAGTCGTACAGGTAACTCGCGCCTACCGCTGAGGCATTGAGGCTGTGAGCAGCGTTGGGGTGGGTGGGCCCTGGCGCGGCTGCAGAGGCCCATGTCTGATGTGGTGTCTGTACTAGTCGAGTGGCAGCGTAGCTCTGTTATCGCAGTATTTATTTACTGTAGTATACTTATGTTAATTGTGTGTAGCTTCCTGAAGGAGAAAACGGGTCCGAGGCTATTACCTGCTCTTTGCCTGCCCCCCCCCCCCCCCGTCCCGTTTGTGCGCTGCTCCTCGACTCCGCTCCCGTTCTACCGAAGCACCCCCTTGTGGAGAGGGGAGGCGGGCGGAGAGCAGGCTCCTTCCCAGGGCCCGCCCGCCGCGCGCGGGCTGCTGGGTGTCCCTGCCCCGCGCAGCTTGAACGGAGTGCGGGGCAGTCATGGCGGCGGCGGAGCAACAGCAGCAGTCGCCGCCGCAGCAGCCGCCGGAGGATGAGCAGCAGGCCCTAGACGCGGTGGACGTGCTCTGTTTGCTTCGGTCAGTGCTGGGGGCCGGGTGGTGCTGCGGGGCCCCTTTGGCGCCCGCTGCTCGGGGCAGCGGCGCGGGGCCTGACCATTGTCCTTCTGCTGCAGCCTGAAGGACCAGATGAAGCAGCAGTTATTGGAGTGCAGCGCTGTAGCTGACGCCGGTGAGCTTCTCCCTGCGCTGGCTCCCTCCAGCAACCCCCTCTGCCCTCCCTGAACGTAACGTTGTAATAGACGTAAATGTTTTGAAGTTATCAAAAGTGTTCATTACAACAATGAAATGTTTTTCTTAACCGATTATCTGACTTCAGTTTCTAGACAGCTGTTGGAAACATGTTTAAATGCTTATAAAGCTGCCGTCCGGTTATTGCTCACTGCTCTTTCTCTCCTTCGGTTTCTACTTTCGGCTTCTCTGACATTCAGACAAGCGATGATTATTTAAGTGTGCCTAAGTGCTTGGCAGCAATACTGATTTAAGGCTTTTTTTCTTGTTCCTATCGTGTTTCCGTTGCCTGTATCTTCCACTGAACCAGCCAGGCTGCATAGATAGAGCAGTGCTGCCAACTAGCTTTGACATGTCTCAAAAGCGCTAAATGGAAATACAGTAAAGCCTAGTAATTTCTTACATATAGCTCACTAATAGTGGAAGAGATGATAAGGTGTGGAGGGAGAATTAAGAAATACTTTGTTAGTACAGTTGTCAGGCTGCTTTATGCTCTGTAGATTGCATTTAAAAATCTCTGTTGTGCCTTTTTTGTTAATGACATTCTGTCTTTGCAGGTAAAGCAGCTGACTCTTACGCTGGCAAGCAAAAGCCTGTGCAGATGTACGTCATTGGATAACTTAAAACTTCTGATGTATTTTAAATGAAGATAAGGGCTAAGAACTGAGTTTGGAGGTCCTCTCTAGCTACTGCTGTATAGTAAATCTCTGGATTAACCATCATTACTTTGCAGAAGTCTGGTGAAAATAAAGGAAATTATGGGGGAAGAAATATTTTGCTCAGTCTGATGATGTAGTTTTGTATCTGATGTGGCTTCTAAATTTGCAGTGCTCTTTACAGATGGCTAGAGTTCACTAATACAAGTTGAGCATGCTAAAATACTCCTAGCCTTAATAATTTGTGGTTTACAGGAAAAAATCTTTAGATACTTAGAGAGCAAGTTAAAGTTGTGACACTGCTTTTAGATTTTTTTGATATCTTCATAGTGTTTAGGATTCTGTTTTCTTGGGGAGGGGGGTGTTGTGTCGTTTTGTGTGTGTGTGTTTAGTTTTGGGTTGTTGGTTTTGTGGTTTTTTTTTCCTTCAGTGTCATAGAAGATTATAAAAAAGACATTGAGAATGAAAAAGCCTCTTTCTGGAGCAAGACGTTAGCCTTGCAAAGGTAGAATTTTCTTCCTGTTTATTTGGAGGTTTTCTGTTTGTGCGTACACACATACATGTATACATAATTCTGATTAAAACAGGATTTCAAAGTGATACAGGGTGTGGTACAAACATGAGTGACTTTTACTAACACTGAACCAGTAGGAATACAATTGGTGATACTGGGGGGAAAGGGGAGGAAGGAGGAATCAAGTTGAAATATGTAAACTCAGAGGTTTCTGCAAAACTGTGGAAGTCTGACTGTATGAATCGGTAAACATATTTCTTGGCTGCATTTTACAAATGCTTATGAAAAGGTAGTTGATAGGATAAATATTACGTATTTCCTGTGTTGCATGGCTGTTCATTTGAATTCCCACCTTTGCCCAGTTTACCTTCTGCAGATTGTGGGATTAATGGTTTCTTAGTTTGTTTGCAAGAGAGAAGGGAGTTGCCACTCACCAGTAATCATAGATGAACCTTTTTTGTCCCGAGGATTAAGCCCCTTTATTTAAGAAGCATGATATTTAAAAGGTACTGAGAATTTTATATATATAATTCCAATATTAAAGTAGCTATAAATGGAGCCTAGGAAATATATTTTCTGTTACTTGTCTCAGTCTGTTTCTCCCAGTTTCATGTAAGTTCTCATCAGTTTTATTTTTTCTCCATGCTATGCAGGATGCAGGTTATGGCTGCCCTGAGAGACAAAATGAAGCAAAATGATAATGACTCACAGTAAGGTGTTCTTGGGAAAAGGATGGCTGGAAAGGAATGGTCTTTACAGAGTTTTCTCTGATACATTTCTGCATTACTGCATTGTACCTTTTTTAAAAAGCAAGCTTCTTTCTTCCAGTTCTGACTGAATGATATACCGTCCACCTTCTGGCTGGAATCTGCATGATCAGGACTCTTACACCCAGGGTGGATTTACATCTGAACTAACCAATCTTTGATTACCGAGATCATAATTTTTTATTTACTAGTGAGAACTGTTTGTAGTGAAGAATTTTTTTGCCTTTAATACATGAGTTATCTACATTTATAATAGCTGAGCACATATTACAGGCTTGTAACAGGGCCTTGGCGCTGCTTTCCTGCCTTCATTATTTCATTAATTTGTTGTGTAGAAGTTGAATGTCCTTGAAAAAGGACAGAAAGTTTTGAACATGTTTAGAATCAGCTTTTAATTTCCTGCCCAATATGAACAGGTGAACACATCTGAAGCGTAATATAAGAAATTTAACTTCTGTCAGAAATGCAGCTGAAAACATTGCATCATCATGATGTCCCTGCCCCATGCCAGAATTCAAGAGCTTCAATTAGCCATTCTCAAGTGGTTAGGCTTCTGTGATGCCTTTCAAGCTTTGTGATTTGAAATGTTAGACAGACTTAACTGAAACTGAGAAACTGAGGGAAATTAAGGAGGCTGTTTGGCTCCTACAACAATACTTAGTATAATTACTGTTAAAAAAAAAAAAATGCAGTTTGGTGTGGGGGGGGAGGGGATTGGGGATTTTTTTTGTTTAATCCAAATAACCTTGATTAAAACATTTATGCTGTTGACTCATTAATACTCTTAATGTATGCAACTGTGTTCCTTCCTTAGACTGATGCTGGAAACTCTGCAAGACATAGTAAGGCTCAGCGAGGCAGTAGCTGTATGTCAGCAGGTAAGTGGCAGTCATAGCTTCTATTGCAGTTGTTCAGGTCAACATGATAGGCACAAACGCAGTTTGAAAGTATTTAGATTTTACAAGTCCTTTGAAGCTAAATGTGTGGCCCAAAAGGTGCAGTGCCTACTGGTGTTAAAGTCACTGAATTTATTACTTAAAGTGAGTATGTAAGAAAGTCTGTTTCTAGAGCTGCCCTTAACTGCTTTTGTGATTGGAGTTAGCATTTTTCAAAATATTTTGGAGCCAGGAGTCTAAGAAATATTTTTTTTTCCTTTTTTCCAGCAAGTACGTGAAAAGGAACAGAAAGTGGCTGACATTCAAAAGGAAAGACTTTGTAAGCATGTTAGCTATACTGACTTTGTTTGAATGTACAGTTCATGTTTTAAGGTTCTTGTAGCAGTATTAATTTACATCTGAAGTAACTACCAGATGCTCAACACAGTTATAAAACTTCTGAAAAGAGCAGGAAGTACTGCAAAAATGAGCTGCAGTGTTGTCTACTTGAGCATGAGACTGACCATTAGAATGGGAGACACGAAAAGATTCTCAAAGAATGTGGTGGTGTTTTATTATTAGTGTAAGCTCCCCAGAAAATTACGCATCATCTAGTAATTTAAATCAATATCTAAAGTACCTTTTTTTGGCAGATTGCACCTTTATGAAATGTTTGCAGAATAGGGGATGGAATTTACTTGCAAAGAATCTTTGTATGTATGTTGGTATTCAGTAGGCTTGTTAGAGTGAGTCAAATTTAGATGCGGTCAGCCTTCGGAATCTATTTTCTTGAGTGAACCTACTGTCACATGACCAGGTTTGCCAACAGTTTTAACAGTCACTGTGTTTCATGCATACAAAGTGGTGTGTATGTTGACAGTAATGAAATTAATGCAAGGAAGTATCTATCTTTTTTGAAAAAGTGAACGCCCCTAATATCTTCAGAAATAAGGGGAGGAATGCTGTGTCAGCATTCTTCCAATGTAAGAACTGCCTCTAAATAGCTTTATTCAGTCTATTTTTTAGCCTGGCTTCCTATAGAACACTGGTAATATTCACTGATGTGGTACACATACCTCTTGTACAACTTTAGAATTTGTTTCCAGTCAAATCTGAAAAAGGGGGAAAGATCTTAAACATCTGACAATGAAAATTGTGACAACTGTAGGTGAGATGTAGAACAGATACTCGAATTACAGTCTGCGTCTGATGAAAATAAGAGACAGTGTACAAAGTACTTTCTGTTTTGCTAGCAGCCAGGGAAACAATGAATGTGCTTTGATACCAGGTACCCATAGGACATACTGCCTCTTGTGTGAAAGGAATATCTTGATATATACTGTGGGAAGGGATGGAGTGTGAGGTTAAGGGTATTGCAGTGGGAGTGCCTTAGATGTTTTGTGAGATAAAAAGCAGATCTTTAGTTCTGCTGATCATCTTACTATTCTTTAACACTTCATTTTCCTCATAATGGAAAAAGTACTAAAAAAAGTCGGAAGACAGAAACTAATGGAAATCCATGACATGATGAACAAACTAAAGGAGAAACAAACAACTGGGGAGGTGAAAGTGCTGGAGGAGATGCGTATTGCCTACCAGAAAGAGAGAAAGATTACTTCAGTAATTCAAAATGTATTGCAGGTAAGGTGTTTCAGCTTTTAAAAGCCAGAGTGCAGTTTTGCAATAATAACAATAATATAGTGTCTAGTAAACGTAACTTTGGGCAACGTTCTGTTTTCTAATGACTTTAACAATAGTAATGGAAAAACAGCTATATGAAAGGAAAACTGAATAAATCTTTATTGCTTTAAAGGTTGCAAGCATTAAATTGTCAGAGGTTTTTTTTTAATATTTATGGAATTTCAAGACAGTCTATCAATCTGTCTTACTCTTTTTATTCCCTTAAAGGTATAAAAACAATGCATTTTCTCAAAGAATGTCTGTTAAAGCAGTGGCTGTATTTCCTTATGCTGAAAGTCAAAAGTCACCCCTACACCCCCCCAAATCAGTTCCCCTATCTCATGGTTAGGAAAAATAAGTAGGTCTTAATCCCATGATACCACTGAGCCAGGCTGCTGCTCTGCACTCTGCCCTTCTGACCAGCTGTGCTTTCTCTGTGTTGCCCACTGAAGCCTTGTGAAAGCCTTGGCCTGCACCCATGGCCCATCTCCAGTAACTTTCTGTCTTTTGGTTACTCATTTGGTATCAGATGCTGCAGACTAGCCTGAATCTATGTAGCTGGCTGGCACGTCATCTGGAGTGTGAAGACAAAGCGAGGAAGAAAAGCTCATGGTTTGGTATAGGGTGAAGGGGCCTCTGGAGCATCCTGTGCTCAGAGGGGCACTTCAGTAAAGGTCACATATGCTGTGCTGCAGCCAGGAACTGTGCCTCTCACTGTGTGATTTGTCCTGGCTTCCTTTGCCTAGCCACATGGATTAGTGACCTAGGTACAAAGATGGGAGGCACACTTAATTTACACAGTAAATTGTAACTGCTCTCAAGTTTTATCTGCAAACAGGCTATGAAATCCCAGTTCAGCATGTACAAAGTTTATTTAAAAAAAATGGGGAAGGGAGAGGACAGAGTGGGGGGCTTCAGGTAAAGACAGGATATAATCACACTGTGAATTTGATGATCAGAAGAATTTCAAAGACAGAAAAGCGAGTTGCATGGTTTTGTGTTGCATGCCATCTACTACTAGCTTGCATTGATAACAAGGTTAGATCTCATATTGAGAACAAGAAATTAAACATTTTAGTGGGGTTTAGATTAGATCTCCGGGTTTTGTATTCCTGAGATCTTCCGAGCCATAAGTAGAGCAAATCTTCTATTGGTTAACTTTAATAATTCCCTTTTTCAGTCCAGAATGGCAGGGTGAGAATGTCAACTGTGGTATCTTAAGTTTGAGGCAAACTTTATGTGTTAAAAAACAAATCCTCTAAATTCCTATGTTAAAAATAGGGATAGTGTGCAAGCATCTCTGGGGAGTTCAAAGCACCACTTATTTTTTTACCTATGCATTGGCAACAGGATCTGAATTACTTTTCTTCTTTGTCCCATCCCACCTACTTCAAATACTGCTGTGAATTTAAAGGGCTTCCAAATTAAAAATTGAAAACCGGACAGATTTTGAGAGAATTTAGTGGGAATAATATTTTTCATGATTTTTGTTTGTTTTTTTTTTAACCAAACTTCCTTTCTTACAGTGCATCATACTTGGAAGCAGAGTTAACTGGGCAGAAGATCCATCTTTAAAGGCAGTTGTTCTACAGCTTGAAAAAAAAATCTGAGTTGGGAGAGGTGGTCTTTAATTTTTTTCATATAGTGTACATACTCACTCTCCTGAATTTAATAAATTAATACACATTATGAAAACACAATTTGACCTTTCTGGGGGTGTCTGTTCACTGAAGAGACTGAGAATGTAGTCACACAATTCTTTGAAGTGAAATTTAGTTCCTGGTATACAGTAAATGTTTGAACAGGAGCCATGGCTTATGAAACTATCTGAAAAGACCACTTATAGCTATACTCTCCCAAGTTAAAAAGAAGAATTGATACATTTCAAGGTTTTATGTAAAATTCAGCTTAACCCAAGCCCTGTGTGGAGTCCAAACTGGAAGATCTTTGGGGTTTATTTTCTTTTTTTTGTATTATTAAAGCATTAATGAAGTGTTTAAATTTTTATGTATGCTCAATTTTACAGTGAACGTTTTCTGCCCGTAGTAATCGGTTGTGCCTGTGCTATGTGCTGCTTAGTTACAGCCCAGTTGTCCAGCACTGGATACAATCCGTGCCTGCCATCCCACATAGCAAAATATGTGAATGCTAGGCAAAGTGCAGGCAAAGGGATGACTTCGTCTTAAGCGCTATTTTAAATTGACTTTTTCACTGAATAACCCACATCTTTGTTTTATGCTTGAGAAACTGAGCACATCATCGCACGTAATGTTAAAAGACTGTCGCTTTTAACTTCGCAAGTGATTTTTACGTTTTCGGGGGATGGGCGGGACGTGTTCTCACCCAATAAAGACAACACGCTGTTTTCGTCAAGGCTGTGCGGTGGGTTTTGCTGTGTACCTCGCCACAGGCGTATGCCCGCCCACAGGCCGGCTGTGGGAGGGGCCCGGCGCTGCTTCTCAGAAGCCGGCGGCGGGGCGCCGTGGCGAGGGGTCGTCATGGGCAGTAAGATGGCGGCCGCAGCCAGGGTCGTTCAGGTAGCAGCGCTCGCTAACGGGGACCGCGGAAGGGGTGGTTGGGGCCGGAAGCCCGTCTCCGCTCTGAGGTGGGCCTCGTTTCGTGTGTTGCCCCGAGGCCTGCGGCGGCCGGCGCCTGAGGAGTCTCAGGGAGGCTGGTGCCCTTGGCGCGGGGGAGGAGACGCGCGGCAGGGCCCGCTAGTTGTTGGTGCTGGGTTGTGTTTCCGAAGGCTGCTGTGGAGCAGCCGGCACCATCTGGTGCGGTGTGCGGGAGGGGAGGGGGCTAGCCGGCAGCGCCTTTCTAAGCCATCCTTTTTCAAGGTGAAGGTGAGACGTGGAGTGTTCTTGAGAAGACATGTTTTAAGAATAAGCAGTGTGGCTTCGGCTACAAGCTTTGTAATTTATAGGTTTGGTTTTTTTTTTTAATGGAGGTAGTCAGTTTTGTCCAGCCAGCTGAACAAGCATACGGGCAGAGCACAGCTAGTAAGTCCATGTGTTAAAAGTTCTAATTTGTGTGTCCGCGGTAGCAGTTCTTGCGCACACACATATAGACTGCAGTGAGAAAAGGAAGAGAATGCTTGTTCCTGCTCTGGATATTAGGGCGGAGGAGTACCTTTAAAATTGACACTTCTCCTGGAGTAAATACAGAATTTAAATAGGTAGCAAGTGTATCAGTGGTGGTGCAGAAAGCAGCAGGATAGAAGTGGTTGTTTAATACATTGTATGTTCCATTTTACTTTTGTGGAGGTAATGTGTTCTAGAAATATATTTTACTCTCGCTGTTTCTCCCATACCTTGCCTTGTTCCAGGTAGTGAAGCCACATACTCCGTTAATTAAGTTCCCTGACAGATTGAGTGGTCCCAGACCTAAAAGTAAGTATTTCAACTGTAGGTCCGATCTGCACCTCATTTATTTTTTTTTGCATTAACTGTTTTATTTAAGAATTGGCACACAATTTTTCTGTTTCAGCAATGCAAGTCAACTGATTTGAAGCAGTTTCTGAAAAGTGGTTGTTTTAGTTGAAGGTAGCTCTTTGACTCTTCAGACTATACGTGGGAATACACATAATACATGCATGACTTTATTTCTTGGTCAAGGCAGATTCAGGAAGAATCCCATTTTTCCAAATACTAATATTTGCCTGAAATGATTATGCCCAAGTCAGTTTGTATTTGCAGAAATTATGTTGCATTTTCCTCATCTTTTCTAGTCAGGGTGTGTGCTGTCTGCAGTATTTAAAACCGTGATTATAGCCATATATTTTAAAAAGTATTTCCTTGTGCTACTAATTAATGCTGAGAAAAAAAAAAATTGCAATCTTTGACATTATTTTTTATGCCTCCATCTATGTTGATATTTACAGGATTCCAAATACTGTTATATTTAAACATCAAAGTTACATGAGCGATAATTTGGTTTAATACTCCTTTTCAGTCAGCAAAGCATTTGAAACTAAAGTAGGAGGCATCTGAAGGAGCCTCTTTTATACAGAACCTCTCACTTCTGTATAAATGGTACCACACCACAATACTTGCCACAGCATTATCGCATTTGTGACTTAGCTTATTCATTAACATTCCAAAATATCTACAGTGCACATCAAAACCCTCCAGGAACTGTTTTCTGCAATAGCTTTGTCAGAATTCTGTATGTTGTGCATAGTTCAGCCAAATACAGCACCTCTCATGCCAATGAACTGCTGTCTCAAGAGGCTTGAAAACGTGCTGCTTACCTCCTGTTTATGTCTGCATCAGAAGATTTTTGGGGCTATATCTTTTAAGTATGTTAGACTTTTCTACCTTAACCACGTTCTGTCATCTCACTGGTAAATTGCAGTCTACCTCATTTTGCTTGAATGCTGTAGCAATGACTGCATTTCAGTGTACCAGGCTGTTCCTTCTGCATAGCCAAACAGAGCTTTGCAGGTAGAGCTTGAACATTTAGGGCCTGGGTGCTTGAAAGGCCAACAGAATTGTTACTGTGTTACTCCTGCAACATGATGACCTCAAACAGAGAACAGGAAGGTGTAGTAGTGACTGTGTTCGAGCTAAAGCAACAGTCTGGTACTGCTGAGACTTGTCCTCTGATGTTTTTAATTGGCTAATGCATGTACTCCAACTGCACTTCAGACTGAAACATACAATAGTGGAAAATCCTTGGCAAATCTCTAGACATTTTTGTGGTGTGTGGAACAATTTTGGAGAAGCTGTTTCTTGGGTTTTTTCTTACATAAGGTGTGCTATTTCTTGAAACAAAAATACTTTGCCCTTGTTCAAAGTGTGCTCCTTCTGATGGGCTTTCATCTGCCGTGCTTTTTGGGACCTTCCATTGTTCCTCAACCACCTGATCAACTTGGGATCTTCAGATACAGTCCTCTGACAGAGAACTTCTGAATATGCCTCTCAGGGGTGACTTTTTTTTGTCTTTATTTTAAACCAGTAGTGGTTCAATCACATAGCCACAGGTGTTTGATGCCCCAATCCTGCCATTGACTCAAGCCCACTATGGCTAAAACTGTCTCCTCTCGTGTCCTCACTGGCCTTGTTAGAGACAGGAGGGATTGAGGCAGGCAGCACTATGGTATTTTAACTCCTTGCATTCTCTGACTCACCTAGTCTTGATGCTGCATATAGTTATATAGGCCCACCTTCCCAGTTGTTTAGATGTTGCATTTGTCTGGCTCATTTTTCAGGAGTACTGAGAGGTCTCCCCATGGAAGCTTTCTACTTTATCAGGTGTTTTAACCTTACATATACACCTCCGGGTGTTTATGAAGTAAGCATACTGCTGTGAGACTCCATCCTGCGAGGTGGGGTAGTTGCATATTTCTGCATTACAGTCAACCATGGTGGGACAGACCTAAGGTTTCTGGTGCTGACTTGGACAGTGCTGCCCTTTTATCATCTCTTCTCCTATCTTCAAAATCAAGACAACTTCTTTAATGTGAATTCCCGAAGCCTAGCTCCTAGCCCTCACCTGTGCTGTGCTTTATGTACTTCTTGGTCTCTGCATTCATAAACACTGATTGTTGATAATCTGGTATTTCGTGGTCATTCTACACATCATTAACAAAATCTGATAGGATGTCATTTTTTATGTTAGAAAAGGGTACAACACCGCATTGCATGTTGTGGTATGTTGTGGTTGTGAGCTTCATCTCTTTTTTACAAAAAGATAAAGCTCACAACTCGCTACCTTTATTTCAGTCGTCTGACTTTACAGTCGCAGTAAACAAAAAGCATAATCTCACTGGATCTTAGTTATTTATCTTGGTTATCTTTCTACCTAGCTGCCTCCACACACTTTATGTTTTTTTGATAAGTACAGCTTCCCAGTGAAGAAGCCTGTTAGGATATATGCTGATTTTATCTTCTATTCCTGAATCGGTATTTCTGCCACTTGAATATGCTTTCTCCTACTGTCAGACTTTTTTCACTATGCTCTTGATACATATAACAAAAATAAAAACATGCTGTGAGAAGTAGAATGTTTAAATCTTTTAAGTATTTGTTACAAAGAAGGTAACTGTTAATAACTGGTAATTTTTATTTGCTGCCCATTAATTAATTTTACAGTGTTGTTACATTTCTGTAAATGGTTTTGCAATTTGGGTTTCAGTACAGGAATCCTCACCAGCAAGTGTGCCATCTGTTCATGCTTCAAAAGCACAGGAGTCTCTAGGAGGCAGAGCGTCGCCGTCTGTTAGTAGAGTACAAGGTACACCAGACACTTACGAGTTAGTAAGAACCTTACCTCAGAAATACAGAAGGAAACTTATGACAGATGAAGAGATTGGCTATATTCAAGTAAGTTTCATTTATTAGTGTGTGTTGTCTGTACATATGTAGCGTTTAGGTTCCTTCTGCACCTTTCCCAAAGTTTCAGATATTTTACTACCTCGTAATTCTTTCTGTGTGTGTGCTCTGAGCTTTCGTGGCTTTGATGCACAATACCCAACCTGCAAATTCTTAGTACTGAAGGTACCCAATTTTCACTAATTAGTAGCTTGTGTATTGCTGAGTAGAGAAATACAGACATAAAACAGACATGCAGATACCTGGTGATAGTCAGAGCCTGCATTAATCACCCTCATTGCAGCTTTTTTGCAGCAGCTGTTTTGTGTGTAATTTGAATGTGCTGAATGGGAGGACAGGAGTCCATACTTAAGCCAGTGAAGGTTTTAAGTCCAGAATACTTCTCAAACTATTTTTTATGAGTTGTTAATAAGTTAACTCTTGTATTTCTAGTAGTGGAAGCATTTCATTAAATTTGATATGGATATTTTCTGCAATATTTGCAAATAAGGTATCATACATGAAAGGCAAGAAAACCTGCTCTGTAACAGTTCTCTACTGCAAATACTGATGCTTAAAAAGGGAGAATGCACAAAATATGAAAAAATTGTGAGACGGTTTGAGTTTGATGTGAGAAGCAGCTTGCCATAGCTTTGTTAAATGATAAAGACGCCCTCAGTGTAACCATGTTAGTAAGTTAAAAGTCAGTTTTCCCATGTGTTTGTGGGTAGAGTATGATAATTAGAAATTAGTTGCTTCCCATAGCAATACACTCCTTGACCTCTAGCATAAATTTTCTAACAGTGAGATAGATCATAAAATAATTTTTTGGGGAAAATATGAATGGAATACCTCTCTGATTTCTCATAAAGATTGTAATGGCTGACTTTGGCTTTGGTTTTACTTTGGAATAATTTTAGTTTGGAAAATAATTTTAAAAGTTATGTTTATTACTGCTGTGATCGCCAGACCTTTCTAAAGCGAGTCAAAGACAGGTTTCTTCAGAGAAGAAGTGGATGCAGCTGTAATTGTAGGTTGCACGTGCTGATCTTTTTGTATCCTCCCCTGAGAAAAAATGAGGTGTTAGCAGCAGATGCAGGTATTTGACACTCTGCACATGTTCTTATGTAGATTAAAAATCGATACATACACCAGAAGTTAAAACCAGAACACTGTGTGTTAGGCTGTAACAGTGTGAAAAGATTTTACCTCCATTTCCCTTTCTTTTAGTGGAATATATTTAACTCTTGCTTTTCTTTTACAGCGTGGAGGTCCAGAATAAGTATGGAAGATAGTTCACAAGCCATTGTTGGAGAGTGAAGTGTCGTATTCACAATAAAGATATTTCCTTTAAGATTAAAAATGATTGTATACCAATAGCTTTAATACACTCTCATAAAGCAGGTGAGAAGGCTGACACAATACACGATATTAATTTGTGATTGAGGAGGGTTTTCTGTTGATGGCTAACTAGCATTGACTATACTTGATGTCCACACCGTTAAAATGTTTCCTAATTAGCCATTTGCACACTTGACCATATAACTACGGCATTCTATTTTGCCACGTCAGAAGATTGGGACGTTTCATGAGGAACGACTCTGGGGGCAGGGAGGGAACGCTGCAGTGTTCTGAGGGGTGGCTGAGCTATTGCGCAGGTCTCGGCAGTGACCAAGCATGAGGCCTGGGCTTGGGAGCACAGTGAAACCGGGGTGCTCCGGCACGGCGGGGGTTTCTGGCCCCTCCAGAGGACGCTGTTACGGGTGTGCAGCGCACAGCCCACTAGTCGTCTGTGTCTGGGTGCCATTCGGGCCCCCACTGCTCCCGGGGGGCAGGCGGGGCCGGCAGCAGCTGGAGCCTACTTCCGGCAGCGCTGAGTGCAGCCGCTGCCTGCGCGCTCCGCGGGGGCGGGGCTTGAGGCAGCCGTCACAGGGGCGGGCGAGTTCGGCGGGCCGGAAACGGTCAGAGTTAAAGGCCCGCACGGTGCCCCTGCCGCCGCCTCCGCCGTCGCCATGGATGTGCGCGCGCGCGCCAAGCGCTATGAGAAGTTGAACTTCCTGGGAGAGGGGCAGGTGAGCGGCCTGAGCGGGCTTCGGCGGCTGCGCGGAGGCTTAGCCGCAGCTCGCCTTCCGCTCGGGGCTGCCCCGCTGTGAGGCTGGGGGTGCCGCGCTTGTAGGGCGGAGGTGGGGATGGGGGGAGACAAGGCGGCTGGGGAGGCAGGTTGTCTCCTGACAGCGAGCCGCAACAGAGTTCCGTGACCGCCTCCTGAGGGAAAGCGCCAGCAGCTTCGCAACGGGGGCCTCGCGGCTGCCGGATCGCCTGCCCGGCTGTGACGCTGGCGTCTCTCTCTTAGTTTGCTACCGTCTATAAGGCGAAGGACAAGAACACCGACCGAATCGTGGCCATTAAAAAGGTGAGTATCGGGAGTATTCTCCCGTTGTGCGATTGTCCGGGGCTCAGTTGTAACAATTACTGTTATACTTAGTAGCTGGTGCAGTGCTGTATTTTCGAGTTCAGTCTGAGAACAACGCTGGTAAAGCGCCAATGTTTTAGTTGTTTCAAAGTAACGCTTATTCTGATAGGGACTTTTCAGGCTCGTGCTCTGCCAGTGAGGAGGGGCACAAGAAACCGGCAGGAAGCAAAGACAGGAGACCTGAGCCAAATTAGCCAAAGTGGTATTCCATACCACAGCAGGTCATGTCCAGTATATAAACCAGGCAGAGTCACCTGGAAGGCCCAGATTGCTGCTGGGGTTGGGATGGGTATCAGGCAGCAGGTCGTGAGCAGTTGTGTTGTGCATCGCTTGTGTTTATTGTTTTCTTTCTTTCTCCTTTTAGTTTTATAGTCTCCCCCCTTGTTATTTCCCTTACCATTATTATTATTGGTGGTAGCAGTACTGATTTTGTGTTACACCTTAGTTGCTGGACTGTTCTTATCTCAGCCCGTTGGATTTATATTCATTCTGTTCTCCCCATCCCTCCGGGAGTGGGAGAGGGAAGAAAAGGAGGGAGTGAGTGAGTGAGTGGCTGCATGGTTCTGGGTTACCAGCTGGGCTTAAACCACGACAGTGATCAAGTGTCCGGTTGCTTTTGGTTTGCCTAATGACCTATTTTAATTTTTTTTACCGGTTTGATTGATAATGGGAGAATATGTGTTCCTGTTCCTAGAGTGTTTTGTTCAAATGATGTAAATAACTTGTCTTCAACATCTGTGTCTTGTGTTTCTGAAAGGTAGCCTGGTTTGCAGCTTGAGATTTCGGTTATTTATTGGATTTCTAAAAATAAATTAAAATAAAACCAACAATAACCAACCAAACCAACAACAAAAAGATCCCCAAAACAACAAACCACACACACTTCTAAACTTCAGACTTTGTTAGTCCCTAATAACGTGTGAGTTTGCTCCACTCCCCCACAATCTTGCCTCCTCCTGTCCCTGATTTTCTTCAGTGCAGAAATGCTACCACTGATTAAGTTTATGGTAGGTTGTTTGGTTGGGGTTTTTTTTTGACAAATTTTTTTTCGAGACAAGATCTTCTAATATACCTGCTTGAATACAAATGTTGAAAACGTATGTTGTCATAAAGTGTTTTGAAACAAAGTGACTCAACAGCACGAGATACAGTTAAGCAGGTGTTCTTTATTAGTGGCCCTGGGGTAGCACTGGGGATTCTCTTCCATAAGTGCTCCCGAGTAATAGCTGTCAGTACATAGTTTATATTTTTTTACGTAATACCTATACATAAACTTTTCGAGAATTATTTAGCGTGTCTCCCTCCATTCCAAGCACTGGTTGCGTAGGCATGAAGTTCGTTATTTCATGGTCTCTGCTGCCATCTATTGACATTACTGGACCTTTAGACCCTCCCGGCGGCCGTTTACTTCCTCGGGGGATTTTTCCTTCTTCATCACTTATCCTTTAGTTACCTTTTAGCTTAAGCATGCACAGTTTATGTTCTGATTACATAAGCTCCTTGGACTACTTTCAACATTTGTTGCAGTTGCTTCATATGGACAGAGAGTCCATTTTACAATATGCTTACATCCTATTCTAGCAATGTGGTTATATTTCGCAGGCCTAGCTTACAGTAGATTAGATGTGGGAATAGCCAAGCAAAATAAGCAGTTTGACATTTACATGATTTAACAGTTTCAATGGAAAATATTAACATCTTGTTTCAATTTCAGTCCATACCATCCGAAGATGGCGGGGGGGGGGTTGGAGCTAGATGATCTTAAGGTCCTTTCCAACCCTAACTATTCTATGATTCTAAGAGATTGCAAGAAGGTTTTGTATTAAAACCAGGTGATTAGCTCTAGTACTTTGTAGGGGATGAAAAAATGCACATTACAGTGCTTTGGTTAGTTAAAGAGCCTCCCTTACTAAGCAAGTCAAACTGTATCAATAGTATGTAATTTTGTTTGATACACTAATCCCTTTTAGCATTATAATACTTTATGGCTGTTACTGGCAGCATATTGCTTAAAGCATTCTTGTTTCTATCAGAATGTTTTCTTAACTTTTATAATCTGGAAATAGCAATGGTAGGGTTCTAGACTTGAAAATTTCAGGATAGTAGATGACTGAGATAGGACCAGCTCCTGTTTACAGAGTATGCTGATTTTACTACAATCATTCTAAGACAACTGTCAGTTACTTTGCTCTCATTTTTTTCTAAGGAGAAGCACATTAGTAGTATAATAAAGCTTTGTGGCTACAAAGCATTTTGTGCAGCCAGTTTGCATTATGTCTGTTTTCAGCACCATCATGTCTATTCTTAAGCTTTTTTAAAAACTAATACTGTAGAGACTATTATTTTTAAAGAGAAAAAAACAAACCAAAACCAACCCTAGCTGGTAAAGTGCTTCATGGTACTGAAACTCATTGTGTCTTAGAAGAGCAATGCTAAATAGTGTGCCCCCTACCTTTGGGACAGATAGCTGAACCTTATATAATACGAAACATTTCTTTTCAGATTAAGCTGGGACATAGATCAGAAGCTAAAGATGGTGAGTAATAAACCAAATTCTTGCTACTTTATTTGCTTTGTTGTTGTAAATTGAGACCTTTTAATTTGTTACACCTCAACTGAGGAAAATGAGCTCAGCTGTTACATAAGACTTAGTAGGGCTTTGGTTCCCAAACTGCAGGGACGGAAAAAAGCAGCAGAGCTATCTGCATGCATAGTAGAGATCTAAATATGAGTATATAACCACTTAGTTTTCTCAGTTTAAGATGAATACAAACAGGAATATATAGCATAGAATAATAATCTTTGCAGCACTGAGTTTAGAATACCTTTTTGTATTGATGCATGTCTCTGTCTTAAATATTTTAAGATGGGTGGGAGTATTTATCTCTGTTTTCAGGTGTTTCCTTTGCTCTATTTTTGTGATTTTTGGTGAGACAAAAGTTGATAAAAACAACAATCTTATAACTCTTGTATTTATATGAGTCTGTCTTCTGTTGAGAAATTGGGTCTGTAGAGTAGCGTTCTTTGGTTGTGTGCTCTGACTAGCCTTTAGGCATGGATATAGCAAGTAAAAACCCAATAATCCTGGTCTTCTTTTACAGCCTGTGTGGTGCAGTAGAATCTTGTATGTGCGTAGGCTGCTATTTTTCACGTATCCTGCATCAGGTTACCAGCTTCCCAGTGAAGAATCTCTGTAGTGAATTCTCCAATTCTGTTTGAAGGGGAGAACTTTTAAGAGAAACTGAGCACCAATCCCAGAGTCCTCACAGCTGAGCAGGCTGCCAGAGAATTGTGATTTTCTCTTCCCTGCCCCCCACCCCGAGGTTTTTGCTTAGAATTTCCCTCTTTGCCAAAGGGGGAACATTTTGCTTCATAATCTAAACCAGGTTACTGTGGTGTAGAATTTATTTGTTGTGGAAGAAAGTGTACATTCACTTTTATTCTGCAGAAATCTCACCTATGGCAATATTTGTTGTTTAACAAATTGTTGAGTCATGTGAAAGTTATGTTGCAGTACTAAATTGTCCATGATTAACAGAGTAGGAGATTTCTTTGGAGCTAATCCAAAGTTTTAAATTTTGTTCTGTCTCTCATCTTTGGGGTTTTTTCTTCCTTTTTTTTTTTTTCTTCAATGTAGGAATCAACAGAACAGCCCTCAGGGAGATAAAATTGTTACAGGAGCTAAGTCATCCAAATATTATTGGTGTAAGTAAAATGAATGCTACTTCTAGAATCAGTCCTCAAATACTTTTGGTACAGACTCAGACTGAAATTTAGAATTAGTTGGGTCATGGACATGATACTTGATTTTATTTCAGCTATTTTTTTCTAGCCCAAAATGGGCAATAAACCAATTGTTATAGCAAAAAAAAAAAAAATAAAAAAAAAACAACAAACCAAAAACAAAACCAAAACCCAACTGTTTCAGTAACAAGGACAAAGTAGTTTGCTTTG